CAATTAGCCTGGGACTGGCTAGGGACCTTTTTATATATGCTACAAGAAATTGATACTTATTTATGCACAGAGTAAAAATAATTTGAAAACTCATGTTAGCAATATGATGATATTGAAAAATGATCGCAAGAAATATTTCATATTCATTTTGGCTCGCCGGAATCGAGAGACATTGTCGGGAAGGAGCATTCCTGGTCTGTGTCTATTCGTAATTGGACATTATTTCACACGAAAATAAAGATATGCGTGGTATAACGCGTATATAAAGCACGGAACAAACCACATAAACCGAATCCGTGGGAATGAAAGGTTTCATGTATATGGATGGGGCATTCCTGCATGGAATGCGAACTAAAATTATTGTTCCTTGTGAAGATTACATCCACTGCTTCTCTATAGAGGAAGTAAGATTCAACGAAACTGAACTGGTTCCATTTCCTACATACGCTGTTTCAATTGGAACTTGTTCCATGATTGGTTCCTATTTGTGCCTTGATCAGATATGCTAATCGAGGGCTTTTTAATTTTACCCCATCCATCAAAGCATGTTTGGGCGAGGGGTGCTTGAAGATTGGGAACGCAGCGAAGAAGGTGATAACGAGCACCATTTGACGTTAGTATTTGCTTTTCGAGTTCGCGGGAGTTTCGGTAATCACTGAAAGCAAGCGGGTCTCGGCTAGAATCGCACGCATGGCATAAGCCGCGTTTTTCATATCAAAACCCCGGCATAGTTTTGGCAGGTCGCGTTTCACTGTGCACACAACACTCATATGATGACGAACTGCCCTCTGATGCTCCCAACCAGGTGGGAAACATTTCAGAAGGGATTGAGTGTGGTTTTGTTCCGAACCTGACTAAAAACAGCAAGAACTCTTTTGGTCCAAGTTCTGCTGGTTCGCCGATTTAAAAGAGCATGGAGTGAACATAATATGAAAAATTCAACTCCTCTCAGCAATATCATGGCAATGGAAAAGTAATTGGGGAAAAATAACATTATTTCGCGAACCATATGATCCAATGCCTTCTGAACAATTTCGGGGCTCTGTATTTGAAAATAAATTTATGAAGCTTAGACCCATTGGTATTCTCGGAAAAAATTGGAACTGAAAATTCCAAAATATTCGTAAGCACTGAATATCCAGGGGAGTATCGATTAAATTCTTTGCTCCATAAAGATTCCTAAAAATCTATGTTGTTTTCTGATTGAAATTTGATTTCAGAATATGAAAGTAGAACCTAAGTATTCCTGCATAAATTTTTCTGAATTTATTTAGACCAGTCATTAAATCGCCATGAAGAAGTAAATAATTGATCGATTCTTAAAGACTTGCGTTTGACTTCGTTGTCGGTCCGCGTTTATTCAGGTAATACTGTATACGAATTATCGCTTGACGATTTACAACGTAAACATATCTTTGTGGACTGGTGCATAGGAAGTCGATGTTTTTGGGGATTTTTGACCCACACAATCACACATTCGAAAACAGCTTTCTATCGAAAACAGCACGAGCTTAGAGACACTGGTATTTTATATTATGCACTTTCAAACTACGCCTGAATAAGCTCCGTTTGCTTCGAGAATTGCTGCCCCGAACTGAAACTTCAATGGGAAGAAACTTCAACTATCAACGAAAAATTACTCAAAAAAGTGGAGTGCACCGTAGAGAGCCATTCATCAGAAGAGCAAGAATCAACCCATCCCTTGATTGCGAAGCCAATGAAGACAAGTTGAAGAAAACAGGAGGAAACCTCAATAACTAACTTGAGCAAGCATGTTGTAACCTAACCTTTAGGGATTTTCCAAAACAAAGAGATTTCATGAGTAAAACACCACAATCAGCCTGGGACTGGCCTCTCTTTAGAGACTCCGAAAAATTAATATTTATTTATGCCCCAAAAGAATCAACAACTCAGGATCTTCTTCCAGATAAATAAACACACGCAATAATTCCCAGAGAATATTGTCAGAGAATTTTCAGAGAATACTGGTTGAATATTTAGCAGTGGAAGCAAATAATGGGAATAAGAGATTCAGTACAGGTTTTCAAAGGTCTTGCAGACTTGTTTGGTGTGGAAAAAGAGGACTTGTTTTTGGGTAAGTAGACTTGAGTTCCTTTTTTCTAATTGGAGAATAAAGAAGGGGGAAATCGAAGACCATGACGCCATTGTCGTACAAGTTTCCAAGGATTTTGGGGACAAGTCTTTCGGTGTGAGGCTCTATGGGTACAAAGCACAAGTTCTCGAAATTTCGGGTGGTTTATGAATATAATATTTAATTTGGAGTGTGCACCGCAGTCACCAACATAACCAAACCTTAAATTTTGCGGCCCGGTCAATTTATCTGATTTTTGCGCACTTGGTTTGTTGATACCTTCACTTACAACATATAGGGTACTTCTATTTTTCATCGCAGAAATAAAAGCAAAAGACATCCTTCGATTGCAAACATGATCCCGTTACCAGACGAATGGCCTCCCGCTCTTCAAACCAAGATAATATGATCTTATGGTACCTTTAAACAAAAAATCATGGCGAGAATTTCTTTGATTGAATTTTAAACAATATATGCATCGATTTGTTCAGAAATATGCACACACTTCACCTGAAAATACCTGTATATAAGATGGCCTGAAGTGTAACTCCGCATCGAATACAGTTCTGATTTTTGTAACCGGTTTTACCCAGAAAATGGGCATTTTTTGTAGTTTTTAAACGGACTCAATTGACAAGAATACATTTGCATCTCCTAACACACATAGAAAGCGGTCTGGCATAAGGTACGGGCTGCGTCATCAGCATGTGTCGTCAAAACGACTTCAAACCTTTTATTTATTTTTTTACAGATATTACTGTATATCTTCCTGTTTGTTGCTCTAGGGTATATGCCCTGAAGTACATATTTCTGATTCTCCAAAGCTTTGTTTCTCTCTAAAGTCTTGAAATCTTCCTTCTTACGGTAATTTTTTTTATTGTCAATCAAATTTAGCAGCAGCCAAAACGCATTAATAATTCGCGGGATCTTGAAGCAACATATTGACTCCCGAATTTTTCACACCAAATTATTGTGGAAAGATGGTACTCGTCCTTTTGAGGCTTGCTTTTTTTTATGAGCACCTGTACTGTATTTCGTGTATACCAGCCACGCTGTGAAAAACAACTCTATGACGACCATGTGACGAGACTCCAAGAAAACATTTCCAGACAGCCCGTCCTTGTGTTGAACCCCCAGAGGAACAAGATACACGCTTGATCGTGACGCGCGTGCGGGCAGTTCAATTCCGTCGCGTTTCGTGCGACAGGAGAGCTGAGTCACTGTCGATACCCCGGGTGCTCTGGTCACGAACACAACGCGGAGCGACCAGTCAGATTATTTCCCTACATTTGTTTGCCTTCCCCCGACCACAAACGCCGCAACGGTTTCGAACACGTATGCTTCCCGGCATACCTATATATGCGCTGATGATTTTAAACTCAACTACCAGTGCTCCGAAATGATCTAAATGAGCTTCAAACTCTACAGTCCGCGCCATGTCTTCCGCTGCATTTTCTGAGAAATGAGATTTTTTGGGGTCACAAATTGACGAGAAAATATGGATTCCTGGACTCCTGGTCCATCTAGCTACAGACTCATGAGAGATACTTGCCCTCTTATACGCAGCAATTTTGGCTGATGATTTTTACTTCAAATTGTTCCTCAAGAATTTTCAAAGCGAGTTTCGAACTCAGCAGTACATCATGTCTTCCGCAGGGTACATTTTCTGATAACTGCTATTTATTGCGCCAAAATTGTCGATTAATATTTTGAGTCCCGGTCTCCTTAACAGTTCAGCTGGACTTCCTGGAATCATCAAGGATATTTTCCAGCTTACCCGTCTGCTGATGATTCTAACCTTAACTACTATCGTACCAAAATGACCTAAATGAGCTTCAAACTCTACAGTCCATGTCTTCCGAGCTTCTGACCGTTGTTTTTTCCGAGAAATGAACTTTTTTGGGATCAAAATTGACGAGAAAATATCGATTCCCGGACTCCTGGTCAATTTAGCTAGACTCTCATGAGATACTTGCCCTCTTACGCATGCGCTGAAGGTTTTGACTTTGAATTATTTCCTCGAACATGATTTAAGCGATTTTCACACTCAGCATGTCTTCCGAAAGACGCATTTTCTCAGAAATGCAATTTTTTGAGCCACAATTGTCGATTCAATTTTTGAGTCCCGAACTTCCGGTCAGTCTACCTGGACGTACTCGATTCTTCGTGGATATTTTCCAGATTACGCATGTACAGTAATGATGATTCTAACCCGAACTATCATTGTATCAAAATGATCTAAATGAGCTCCGAACTCTCTGCAGTTCGCCAAGTCTTCTATTGTCTGAGTCAATAAAATCGTATTTAGTCTACTCTTGGGATTGTAATCAGTCTCGCTGGACACAAAAAAGAACGTCAATAACAATAAAAATCCTATTTTAACAGGAGTCTTTGCATCCGCATATCATTCTTCGGCAAATGTGATTTTTAATAAAACGCAATTTTGAAATTATGGTCTTATTCAACACTGGCTTGTGGGAGGTTCCAATTCGATCAGATTTGTTTAGTGAATTACCGCACATTCGTGTCGTTCACCAAGTTCTAATTAATTTTATCTACTCTTTCGAAAAAAGCGTCCTGGATTTTAAGAAAGTACTGTAATATAGGAAAGTAAGGCCTATGTGTAATTTCCTGCTGCAGCAGATTATCAATGAATTTTCTCTGCTCATAAATCTACGCGACGAGGTGAACTACAGTATGGGAGGGAAATTCACAAGATTCAAGCATTCTGGGGAAGAAACAAGAAACCTTGGAGTTTCATAATTATGCACCCCAGGGCACTCGGCCTTCGGGTATAGACACAACAGATAGGAAACCCCAAAATACATTAAAATAGGTTGCATATTTTTCTACGGATCACGCAGGCATTTTTGGTCAATAGCAAGGGCACTTCCTTTTTAAAGAAAACTCAGCTCTTCGTTTCTGCCAGGTTTAATGCAACGAATGCGTAAAGATACATCAGTCGCATGGCATCAATCAATTCAGCTTTTGTCACACAAAACAATACGGTATGAGTCAAGCGTGAAAACAGCTTGCGTAAATATCATCCTAAAATGGATTCACGTTGAACAAAACGAAAGGAACTGATGCTGTCCGTTGTTGCTTTTATCGTATTTAGTGTGAGTGCATGAACGCAGAGAGCAAACCAGTTCGCCATTGATTGATTCATTATTGCAGAGACATAAGAAGACTGAGGGAGATGACAGTAAGTGCCCTGGTTTTTGTGGATAAAAAAATACATGAAAATGGATTCACGTTGGGGGAAACTGATCCTGGTCGTTGTTCAATGTCATCACTGAGCGATTGTGGAGAGCGAGAAGTTCGCACGTGCGTCAACCGAAGTGAAACTTGATATCGTTTTTTTTTAATTGGTTAACAAAGTCTTATTGCAGCGACGATTAAAGATGAAGATTTTAGGGCGTTGATGGTGAAAAATGATGCGAGACAACTCACTAGTCGAGCTGGTATCGTTAGCAATTGAGTCGCGTTGATGACATTTGGTGGGCGTGGGTTTGCTCTGCGTTTGGTCATCCGAGTCACTGTCGTCAACCTCCACGTCATCGCTGCGTCGATTGTTTGGATCCCACATCATCTTGTTCTCCTTCTTCAGGCGCCGGCGTGCGTTGGCGAACCAAGTTGACACCTGAGTGAGCGTCATTTTGCTTATGATGGCCAACATGATTTTTTCACTCTTGGTGGGATACGGGTTCTTCTTGTGCTCCTTGAGCCAGGCCTTCAGCGTGCTCGTAGTTTCTCGCGTCGCATTCTTCCGCCGTGTACCTGTCAAGTCGTTCGGGTACCTAGGCATTCGCAACAAGAGGCACAACACCAACAAAAAATGAGTCGGCTCCCGGGGCAATGTTTCACCGTTTCCCGGGGTATTGAATGAGTTTCCGGACACTTACCCTCCGACTTGCCCGATGAGTGGATCGTAGGATGCATAATACAGTTGTGAATATGGCCACCCAAGCACAGCCGCCGCGGCGGCAGAGGAATTTGCATCTCTGCACTCCATCTGCAACACAAAGAATTGTTTGGAACGTTACACGATCATGTACACGAGAAAAAAGGGAAAGAAAAACAACACACGCGCACAGGACAAAAAATAAAAACCCTTCCCCTCGTCTTTATCGCTGATTTCCACGAAGTTTTGAATTATCCTGGACCAAGGATGTTCCTTAGAAGGAACACACGGTTATGCAGCGACTATTCAGGTGGACTCTCTATACAACAAAACTCAAGGGACAAGACAAAATTCGTTGTAGAGAGAATTTCGTGGTAGAAAACCTTTATATAACATAGGGAATTACGGTACTCCTGTGGGACCAAAAAAAAATCGCTACATAGAGAAAATCGTTGTAGACAAGATTTTTGTAGAGAGAGTTATCCTATATGATCCCACATCATGTCATTCAAGGATATACTGTATTGTGAGCATTCCACGTACTTCAGTCACCAGAATCAACATTGAAAATAACCCCAGATGAAGCCTCCATTGCTTTCTTGGATCTTATGAGCCAGGTGTTGAATTTACAGTATTGTAAACTGAATTTTGACTGAAAAGAAATTGAGAGAAAAGATCATCTCAGTTGCTGAAAGGAACAAAATGTATTGTACAGTACTTCCGTTTTTCGCCGCAGCATTTGACGTTTCTTTCTTTGGTTATTTCAAGTGACTGCAGTCAACATTTCAAGCTGAAAATTCCGTATAAAAACGATTGTTGATCACGTTACATCTGTTCTTCAAAATTTGAAAAGATGTTTTGAGGAGTACATTTGAAACATCGTTACTTCACCGTTCGCGCCGATAATTTTCACAGTGAATTTCTATGGCGAAATTAGTTCAAAACAAATTTGTATCGCGAGATAAAAATCACGCTTACACTCACGATCAAAATGAACCTTGAATGTACCCAATTTTTATCCAAGACATTTGAACACACTTACACACACTTTTTACAGCATTTTTTAGATCGAGTTACGAATAAACACTTACTTGAATGTTCATCGAAGACCGACCTTTTGACATTTAATTTCATTTTAATATTTTCTCCTTCTATTTTATTGACTTCGGCATTCTGGAGAGGTGAATCCGATTTAAAATAACACCACAAATATTGTTTCAAGTTTTCATTACCTGAAAGAAGGCGTCTGCTCTATGACCTCGTGGAATGGAAATTCCTCATGCCGAATACGTACAATCAAATTTTTTGGGTGAGAAGAAATATTACGGAAGGACGTTCATTCCAGGTAATACACGTCAAGCAAATCCATTACTCGTTGAATCGTACAGGTTCGGTCTCTTTAAGTAAGAGCGTAAGGTAGGCGTAATGTGCTCCTCTTAAGAGCCTTGTAATGGGCCGGAACAGGCGCTGCGGAAACACGGCAAGGGTGCTTACGAGAGCCTCGACTCCGGGTCATGTAAAAATATTTAGAAAACGCCAAGCAGGGAGAGATTTTGGGAGTGATTGACATAGCTTGTGCACTTTACACGTTCCTTCTGGTCGCGTGGCAGTAATTCACCTCGATTGATGATAACATGAGCTCCTCAACTAGGTTTAACGAAGCTTGCGCCGCAATGTGAACATAAAAATCGCATACATATCCGAAGATAAACGTGGCACGGTCCGGGAATCAGAAGTTAAGCTCAACCAGCGTGAAGCTTGTAAGACGCTAACTTCCCGGCACGTAGGCAATACAAAATCAGCGTGCCAGCGATCCGCACACTATGTTTTCCTAAAATACGCTGCCAAAAGCTGTCCAAAGGAAAAGACTCCAATTTATTTAAAAACATACTTCAGAAAACCACTGGACTGTTTCTAAATTATTCATGGGGGTCGCGTTCATAATTGTGAACGACGCAGCTTTCATTCGTTTGATAACCTATAACTTAATCCACGTGGGCTCTCTCTACAACAAAATACTAGGGGACCAGAGAAACAATTGTTTTAGAGAGAATTTCTGCCCAAAGAACTCCAATATTATGGGGAAATATAGAACCTTATGGTCGAGCCAAAAAAATTGATATGCAGTACTGTACTGATAAAACCGTTTTCAACAACACTTCTTCAACTCACTGCAGAGCTTGAGGAGCAGGGTATTTTCCACAAGAAATCTTTAAAAATTATCGAATGATTGAATTATCAGCTTGTTTTTCCTCAAATTACTATATAGTACACGATCCAGTAGCAGAGTATCTGTATCTTTCATACATAATGTCAAGTGCGGTTTTTGTTACATACTGTACAACTATGTTCTTCGTCAGCGGGTGTCCGCTTGTTTTTAACAGAGACTGAAAACGGTCGAGTCGTATGATTGTGTAATATTTTTCATCAGTCTCGCACGCAGAAACATCGTGATGATCATTATGCAGAAAACTACAAAACAACAAGCTACGTTTGAACACCTTCACGACTATCACGAGCGAAGAAATAACAGATGGTTGATGCCCTTGTTTACAGGATCCAATTGCCTGCGACGGGAAAAGCCATTTCCCTCCATGGTTATCGGGCGCACTTCGCGAGCAGCACAAAAGGATTTCCAGGATAGACGGAATGCAATTTTCAGGCTTGTGTACACTCACATATCGTGAAAGGCGCGATTAACCCTGCACAAGCTGAGCGATTACATTGCTTGTGAGGCGGTCAGCAGTAGTGGGAAGCAATGGGAGTCGTTAATTAGTCGCAGTATATAGGACCCCAGTACGCGTCATTTACCCGGATATGATCCGCATATTCGTGACCGGCGATGAATTGGAAATAGCCCGGCCACCTGCAAACTGGACCCAGAGGACATCAGCTGCCACGGAAAAATGTATGCAAATTGTTTTATCGAGTCATCGCAGTCGTCAAATGCAAAGCGAGGAAAAGGCCCGGGGTCCACTGCTGGGGGACGCCGATTTAATCCAGAGATACAGTCCGGCGCCTTATTAAGCGCTGCACTTCTTCGTAATTAGAGCTTGTGAAAAATTTCGCAAGTTTTTCTCCGGCGAGTGCTCGTGAGTGACGATCTCCCCCGGCGATACCCGCGACGCACATATGTCATGTGAATGCGGACACCTTTTTAAATTGCTGTTGTCTCCGCCCTGCATCGCTTCAGGATGTATGGCTGTAATTAGCCGGTATCAGGGCTCGCGTATCTCCGCCACATATTGCTATTCCCGGTGGACGAAACGAGTGCCCACCACGGTGGGAGCTCGTCAGTGCTGGCGAATTCCCTCGGAAATGCGTCAAACCGATAACGTTACGGGGCTGTAGAGAGGGCAGAGATCCGGATAATTTCGAATATGGTCGCGACAGAAACGAGCTTGTCCGAGTGCAAGTAGTCTTCAAACAAGCCAACACAAGGCAGCATCAAGAGCGAAATTTGAGCTATACCAATATGAGCCTGACCTCAACCCTTCAATCTAACTAAACTCAAGAGTTGTCTACGTGTGCAACTTCGGTTCGGAAGCACGTTTTGTTTTACCCTGCTCGTGAAAAATTGCATTACGACGGAATTAAATGGATATTTAACTCGACCATGCAAGGAAGAAAAATTAGTTCGAAATTACAGGTAAAATTTCACCGCGATGAGGGACACAGACGATAGATAGACTTACAGGAAATTTTTGACACAGAGAAACGTATAAAATACTACATATGTACCATAATTACGTCGGAGTACCGCACGCGTCTTTGAGTAAGATACGCAGACAAATTCTTCACACGAAAAAAAATTATCCCTGAATAAGACGCGCCCCCAGCAGTGAATGAAAAAAATATAATCTTCCGAAAATACAAGAAAAACACAAGAATCCAAATTTGAGTATGAATTGAACCTGGATGCAATTAATTTTCAAATTTTTAATTCAAAAAAGTTCCAGTCAAAAATTCAACATTACATTCAAGTGAGACGCACACCTAACCTTCCAAAATTTTCTGAATATTGTATCTTCGCCTATGACGCGCACCTCATTTTTCCATCTCAATTTTGAGAAAAAAAGATGCGAGAGGTGCTCGAGTAAATATGATATGCAGTATAAATTAGAGTCTAACGTTAGTATTGACACAAAGCAGGTGCTGGTACATTTTGGGGGTTGTTACGTACATTTTGTCCTGTCTTAGGTCGCGAGAATTCAGTATAATAAGCTTGAAAACTCCGACCAATCCTAACCAACTTGAGCTAATCGATTGAAAACTAATCTTATTTTCGCANCGTTTGAGTCGAGGGTTACACGGTTGAACTCGGGCTTATCTCGCACGTAGCACATTTTAAAACGTGCAACGGAAAGGGTATGCCATGCCATTTGTGGCAATAAAACAAGGTGTAGTTGAAAATGGGCTGGAACGCAGTTTCAAGAATAAAGAGCTGTATACACGTCGATTCAAGAGTACGCCTAATTTGACCAATTCTTTTAAAATGCATTTATTGTGTGAATTTCTTCTAAAATTAAGACTATTCCAGGCACAGCGTCGAACAAGCAGGAAGTTTCCCCGAATGTTGAGCCACGACTTTGTAACTTAAAAATTTGGTTCTAATTCGGAAACGAAAAGGAATTTGTGTACTGCACCTCAAGATGCGAACGATTGATTCTACCGACGAAAATGTGACTAACTTTCGCAGCATTCAACTTTTTCACGATCAAGCAATTATTTCGATTCTACTGTTGTTTCCGATGGCAGCTCAAGCGCATAAAATAATATACTATGGGATCAGAATTATAATGTCAATGCCATTGAACGAGACGCTGTTTTACAAACTGGTTGAATTGAGTTTTAAAGTCGATTTTCATTCGAAAGATAATAGGGTACAGGTCATCAGAGAAAATCGTTTACTCTCTGCGAATCTAAGATGAGAATAAATTGGAAAATAACTCGTAAAGGCATTCAAGTGCGAGACGCCGTGAATTTTTTTTTTTTGTGCCAAGTTTTGAAAAAAGTGCGGTTTTCCAGTATTAAAGTGAATGCGATGTGACCATTTTCCCAGGGAGTTGAAATGAACCATTTATCCAAACTATGTAAGAGCTGGGATACAA